CTATACTGTCTGACTCCAGAACTTAAACACCAAATTATTATACTAATCTATTAATAAAGAAATACTAACTAAACAAGTATCTCTTGAGTACTGCAAATAAGAAATCGTGGCCATGACTTATTTTCCATTATTTATCAGTTAAAGTAACATTCCTCAGCTCTCTGTCCTGTACCCTTACACGCACACACACTAAATTAAGATAAACTGACAATTTGTTTTTTCTAAATTAGGTAAGGTCTGACCCATACCCAAAATACGTAGGATCTTAGTACCAACTGTAAAAAAGCTATTTTTCTGAGTTATTTTTAAATAAGTTAATGTTTATACATTTGATATTTTGTTTCCACATTTGAAACATACACTTAATTTAAAATGTATTTCCTTGCTCAAAGTAAAAGAAAGTTTATTACTACAGACTCTTTTCTGATACAGTAAACAACAGCAAATAATATGCTAAAGCAAATGTAAACTGATATAACCACAGAAATATAAAGAGATAATACATGGATCCTTTGCTACCTGAACTCTATTTGAATTCTCGTTTTCCAAAACTCAGGAACCGAACAGATTCCAAAAACTGCATTAGAATCTATCCAGACTCACATGTATCTCTTGCTATCCAGACTCTTACTAGCCAAAACTCAGGGCATGGCTCACAAACCACTCCTTGCTATCAGAAAAATAACCAATCTCTCATTCCAAACTCAGGAACCCAGTAGTTTTAGATAGCTAAATACATATGCATATATATCCAAGGGCTTTATAAATTTAAGAATTCTTGTTTACACTATTTATACAGACTATTAAAAATGTGAATGAAAGGCACATATCTGTATTTTCATTCAAATTTCATATTTTAACTCCATTTACTGAGAATTTTTGTGTAAATGTTTTTCAACTAAAATGTGGTCATATTTTAATCTTTTAGACCATGCAAAATGTGTTTTTTAAACTGCTTAGTACATGACAGATACTATTAATAATAGAGCTAAGTAATGTTAACGTGTGAGTGCTGTGAAACAGCTCTAAAAACAGCCTTAACACATTTTCTCAATATATTTCATAGGTTATACAAATATCATGGGAAATAAGATTTTCAAGGAAAACTACTTTCACTGTTAATTTTTCAATAACATATTTCACAGATCATGTTAGTGTTTATTCTTAAAGTCACAACAAACACAGGGTAAAATTAAAGAAAGAAATCTAGTACAGTAGTTGAAAATGGGAAAAATTCCAAATTAACAACTACTCCATAAAGTTCACCCAAAAGTCAAAGAACTATCACACAAGTAATGAATTAACTAGGTTGAGAAAAAAAGAAAAACCGGTTCTCATAAAACAGTGCATTTTCCCAAATACTTAATGTAGGCTCACATGTGAACCTAAGCTTTTTCGGTGCTTGACAAAAAGTTAAAACTATCATCAGATGGGAACTGAATTCAAGCATATGATTTTTTTCCCACATACTCAAGAATTATTTTAAGAAACAGGGAAAAGATGGCAGGTTTAAGAAAAGTCAACTACTTTCCCAAACTCTTCTTTTGAGTACAAATATAAAAATTATGAAAATTGTAACTAAAGCTCCCATTTTATCCTAGTTTGGCTATGCTCTCCCCAGAGCTCACTTTAGATTTAGTGATCTGAAAGAATGTGAACCCCTTAATCAACCAAATTCTAACAGCTGCTTGACACAGTCCATCTATTACATTAAAAGAGAGAGCAAAATTCAATTTTACAAAAGTAAGTCTTGTCTACAAGCCTCACAAAGTGCAATAACTTAGGATTCAATACCTTTTAACTGATTTCATATAGAGCACCAACACACATCCCCAAAAAAAGAACAAAAACCAGGATATTTTCACGTTAAGAAATGACAGGTATATTCTGCCCACGTTTGTCATCCTAAAAGGCTAAGATTCACCACTAAGCTTCAACTACAAGCCAGAAAACGAGAGCCCTCTGGGAGAGCAAACCCAAAAGAGCTGTCAAGGTTCAATGCTTTGATTTCACATGGTGGCACAAATGACTGACTGCAACACGTTCTTAATAAATGCAGGCACAGCTTATGTCACCATTTCTTTAGGTTAAGTTTTCGTACCTCCCTTCCCAGATGTCCACATTAGACACAACTCTGAACCCAAATGTTTTTCTTATATAAAACCAAAGAGAAGAACGACTTAGATAGGACTCTATGAGTCCCTCCAGTCTATGGTTTTATTCAGCCTGTGTTGAAGTAACAATACAATTCCTACGACTCGGAAAATTACATTTTACTGCAAGGAGAAAAAAAAAGACAGATTCGATCCAATCACCGTACCTTGCTCTGCCAAATGTTAGTACCAGAACTTCTGAAATAAACAAACCTGTGTCTATGTTCATCGGGTCCATGGATCAGGAAGACTCCAGGGTTTTTAGCCCCTTTACCGGCATCTACATGTGGAATTAACACATCTTCTAAACCCAAATCAAAGCGTTTGTGTTTTGAAGAGTCTGGAAGGAAAAAGAATGCCCCAAAACACAGGGTGATGAAGGCACTAAGAATAAGGAGAAGAATAAACTTCTCAGAAAGTCTCAAGGTAGCCCTGTGATGTGGGAAGGAGGGCGGCCCCAGGTTCAGAGGTGGTATCCTACGTCCAGAGAGGGGCAGCAGGGCTGGGGTAGTCATCGTTTACGCTCTCGGAGAGAATACTTTAGAAAGTTCTCATCTTATGTCAAATGTACAATACATTGAACTGTCTTCAAAATCTTGGCCGAAATGGGAAAACTCAATTTCGCTCCTCTTAGAGGATTGTTGTGCTTTTTAAGAGGGCACGTCGTTCACGCCCGTCCATTTCCACTCAGAAACGTGTGTGACCTCCCCCAAACGATCACAAGTTTAGGTTCTGCGATATCCTCTTTAACATCTGTACTGCACTGGGTTATTACAAGCCTCCTCTTCATTCCCAGGGGTAGATCAGGCAAGCCACACTGCAGAAAAGCTGCAAGGTGGGTTCTTCCATTCCTGCACCTCGGTGAGATGCTCAAACGTAGTCTTCCGCCCCGAAAGGGAGCCTGGCGACATCCGAGGAGTTGTAGAAGGTTCACTTGATCTCCTCCGACGCTCCTATTCCAGAATCTCTTAACCTTAGCGGTGAAAAATATAAGGGTCTCCCACGGACGTCTGCAAACAGGGAGGAAGGTCTCCCACCTCGCTGGGAAGCCGAAGCAGGGGCGCTGGGCGAAGTAGCAGGAAGGAGTTCTCGGCCGCCCGCGCTTCCCGGCGCTGCCTGGCAGGAGCCCGGCGCCCGGCTGAGTTCTGAG